TTTAAATATTCTGAAGTAGTTATCTACAATATGTTTCAATTCGATGACTTACGACAATTATTGTTTCCTTTCTTGTATTTTTATTTTTATTTTTGTATTTCTTAATGTCGATTTCACAGTTGACTTTACGATTGACACTGCGAACGTTATGTCGTCTTGTAACTTATTCAATATTTCTTTCTTGTCAACTGAATTTATGGAATATATATTTTTGTGCAGTTATGGTGTACAGTAAGTAGATCTCCATACAATTTATGGTTTTCCAATGTATGTCTCTAACGATTTTGTGTTTGATTTAGTTTCATTCAGTTAATCAACTAATTGAGGGTTACACACACTCTCCGGATAAGGTAATCCGTGAGATTTGCTTACTGCACTCCATGGTCTGAATTTTGGATCGTCTTCCTGTTAGGATTATGAACTGTAAAATGCTGAGGATGACTTGAACACAGCCGAAACGTTCATGTAATAGATAATTTTTCAATTATATGTATATTAGTACCGCACGAATTACTGCGTTTTTTTTTAGGCTCTTAATAATTGCCCGTTATTTAGTTTTATGTATTTTAATTAATACATTTTTTGTTTATTATGAAAATATACATTATTATAACACATTAGACAAAAATTCGTACAAAAGGCTATAGGAGTCAACCTCTAGTTGATACATTTTCGAGAAAATGTTACATTAACAATACTATATAAATGAAATTATATAGTATTGTTAACCCTTAGCGGCCACACGGGGTGACTTTGTACCCCAAGGCTTAGGAAAAGTGAAATTAGAGGTCTAAAACATTTGAAATTGATACAAGTATCGACATTTGTCACTAGTAGACACGTGTGAGATGTGACTCCATTACATAGGAAGCCGAAAAATCGAATGGCGGCGCTTTGAGCGTTCGTTTTCTCGACGTTTTCATTTTTCCCTCATAACCGTAATTTTGCAAAATAAATATACTTTTTGAAAGATCGGCGTATACTGTTATTTTTTTATGGTAGTGGTGTATCTTGTGCGTACAATCCTAAAATTTTAACCCTTAATATTGAAAAATGGCGGAGTAATGAATTTTTTTCCGAAAAAAGTTATTTTTGCCGAATTTTCACATATATGACCAATTTTTAGAACGCCATCTATAAATTGACTAATATAAATCATTAGAAATGTTGAAGAACTATTCAACAAACATGAAACAATCGATTAGAAATCTTAAAATACCCATATATCTTGTACAACTAATTTTTTTAGCTATGTACTCCGGTGTGGCCGCGATGTGACCGGGCTGAGGTGTGGCTGCTAAGGTTAATGTAATATTTTCTCAAAATTTTGTCAACTAGAGGTTGACTCCTATTGCCTTTTGTACGAATTTTTGTCTAATGTGTTGTGATTTAAGGAGTCTATAACTTATGAGTTATTAATTTATTTTATTATTATTATTGTACATTATTATAAATTTATATACATATAATAAAATTTGTAATTTTTAGCAATAGGTAGGTACTAAAAAACTAAAATAAAGTTTAATAATATTTGAAATTTGAGAAAACAATTTTGATTGGCTAACAAGTGTATTAAGTACAGTTATTTGAGTTTAATGAATTTGGCGCCTGACGCCACATTGCCGCACTCGCTATGCGTCTTGATAGAGGGACGCGACTAAGGGAACGGCGTGTGCGTCGTTGCGTTGTCTTCTCTCTCTCGTTTCGGGATGCGCACGCATTCCTTCTTGAGCAGCCATTACTATCCGCTCGATAACGTAAGTCGATAACGTAAGCGAGCTACTCTTACGATTCAAGAGATATTGCGTGCCTTCATGTATCCGTGTGTTCAAGCATAATAAATTAACGCTAAATAAGAGAAGATTGTGTTTTGCTTCTCGATCACCTCCGAGCGTGAAGTTTGATACCGTGAGCGATCGAGTGAGTGTGCGTGTCAAGATAAACGGCACGTGCACAAAAGAACAAAGTGCGTGACGTCACACTGCAGTAAATCGTCTGCACCCGACTGCTTACGCTGGAAGGCTAAAGCGAAATCTTAAAAAACTCTTCTTAAAAATCCTTTTATAAATTACGAATATTAAAATGGGTGGCACCCAGTTGGACACGGCTCAATTGGACACGAGCCACTCACAGCGCTTGAGACTACAAAGCTCCTAGGCACCTGGTCGCTGTGATTGGTGTCCAATCGAGCCGTGATCAATCGGGATCACCCCTATTTATAATATGATTTGAGAGTACATTGTTAGTGATGAGCGATATAATGCTCCAAAAGTTCGAAGAATAAAAGCAACTTTGTAAGTACATTTTTATTATTACAGTAACTTTTTCAATTTTATTGCAAGTAGCACGAATAAATATTATAATTAATGTATCTCTGTATCATAGATCATCAAGAGAAAACTACACTAACCTCGTTATTACGGAATATAACCTATATAGGTTATGTTAACATCAAACAGGAAGATTCTATTCGTACAGTAAAAGAAAGAATCTGCCCCGAACACTGTGTTCGACAAAAAGATTATACTGTAATCTATATTGTCGACGAAGAAAAAGAAATAGTTCAATGCGTAGAATGTCTTGAATGTGTGCAGCATCAGAAGGTTAAAATATTTGAGAGCAATAGTTTAAAAAACAACTAAATTTTTATTTGATAAAAGTAATAATTCAATAAATATTCGTTTAAATAACCTTGCAGAACAGTTATTAGCGCCTTTAAAAATATAAAGTAAAAATAAATCCAAGACAAAAGTATGTATATATATATATATATACTTTTGTATATATATAGTTTATATATATAT